AAGCATGGAAAAACATGGGAAAAGGTGGGAAAATAAGGAAAACATGGAGAAACTTGGGAAAACATTGGAAAAGGTGGAAGTAGAGAAAAGGTGGGAAGAAGTGGCAACCTCAATGATTTTATTCTATGATCAAACCCTCAGGCTGGGGACAGGCTGGCCAGGCTCCCCATGGGTGCAGCAAGGGGATTACTGGTCCTTCTCCATGTTCTCTGCTGGAAACTGAGTGAATGTTTTCCTGCATGGAAACTAAGAGTAATTTGCAGCTTTGCTCCTCTAATGAAGCTATCTTCATGTCTTCACATGCTGATCCTAACAGGTAAAATGCCAACGATTTATACAGTTCTCTTCCTATACTGTACATAAGTTCAGTAGAACTTTTTACATCATGCATTATGAATATATATTCAGATGTACAGCCATTGAGCTTTTGCTCTCCTTCCAGACCTACAGGTCTGTTGGCTGTTCCCTGGCACACAGGGGTGATTCCACGTGCACCAACAGACAGATGCTACAGCAGGGAGCTGATGGACAGCAGTGTTGAGAGGCAGCTAAATGAGGACAGATGGGACTATGGTTTAGCAAGAGAGAAAGTGAACCACAAACGCTGAGATTTAGGGGTCCTTATGCTATTTGTGACCTCTTGTTCCCTTGGAGAGCAGTCTTCTTCCCTTGGTATGGAAGATCTGTCTTTGTAGATGGCATCACCCAGAGCAGAAGGCTCCAAGAAGCAGTGTTTGCATTATGCATATTCAAAACAAGATAAAAGAAAGCCAAACCCAGAGCAATTACTGCACTGTTGCACAATAGTAAGAGTCAACCTTCAACCCTAGCCAATTGCTATTCCACCTCTTCATGCCCTTCCTACAAACCTGGCTACACACACCTGGAAGTCCATCAGCACCATTCCCACTTCCTATGGAGCCATGCAATCACTCAGCCTGAGCATCAGTGGCTCCAGCACTGGTTAATCACATCTGAGAGCAGCTCAGTTCTGTTAGTCACTATTGCCACTTCAGATTTTAATTGTCCATGACTACACATGCTGACCCTCAGCTAAGCTACTGTGAGAGCACATCCCTTGCATGCTGCAGGTAAAAAGCACAGGACAATAAAACCTCCAGTGGGCTACCAGCAGTCCTAGCAACATATTGCAGCCCTGAAATATCCAATCCAAGAATCTTTAGTGAGAAGCCAAGGTGATGCTCTGAAATGGCCATAACAGGCTTAAAAATTAAAACAAAACACAAGAGAAAGTGTAAAAGTCACAACAGAAAGAAAAGAACACATTGCTTCAACATCAGCATAAGGTGAAAACATACTAAAACAAAATTGGCTTTGAGTGGAGTTCCACAGTCTGCTGATATTGAAGGAAAAACCTTATTCAAGACAGCATTCATGTTGTGCTTAAACACAGGCATGTGTTGGGGTTCTAGCCTGAAACAAGGGGTTAATTCTCCATTCATTTCACAGGATAAGAGCTACACATTTTTCCCCAGGAAATGCAGTGTTACTGTGAAGCCCATCCGCACACACTACTTTGCTACTTCATAATTCATGCTTAATAAAAAGTGAATTCTCTCCTTTGTCTAAATAGTTTGCTTTGGCTCAGCCAGGAGCAGCAATTAGCAAGACAGCCTCCCTGAACACATTTGATCTGCTACAGAGCTTCCAGCTGCGTACCAGAAGAACAAAACTGATTTCACACAATCCATGGGGTTTACGTTGGCTGGATGGTGCTATAATTAAAACGATCTTTTTTTATTATTATTATTTTTTTTCCCCTCATTTTCCTGAGGGCTTTGTTTATATGCTTGATTTTTTGTGGGGAGGCATGCACGTACCTAATTTAGCAGGTTTATTCTGCTCTTTACTGGTTCCCTTTGTGGTGTTCACTGTTTGTAGTTTGGCGCAGAAACTGAGAGCTGCTACAGGTTCATTTTATTAGCAAGAGTTCCCATGGAAACACTTCCATGTTTCTCAGTGTGCTTTTCCTGGGATTTTCAAGGTTGCGTAGGGTGAGTTCTGGTTCCTTTTAAGTAGGAACGTGCAGCAGCCTGTGAACACATCCCCTTCAGTAGTGGGAGAACAGCAATGTTTTTAGATTGTTTCCTCTCTTATGAAGTCTAATGCCTGTGCAAACAGAGCAGCTCAACATCCCCATGCCACACAGAGATGCTCCCATCGCCCTACCAAGAAACCTGATCCTGTTCTGAAAAGCCACCTCGAAACCAAAAGCAAGTGCTTTCCTTTCACTCTCTCACCTTTGCTTTGAAACCATGAGTGATGCTATGGTTTAACAGTGCTCAGTGCACTCACTCATCTCTAGACGCCCTCATGTCACTAAGGATTTTCAAAGCTCCTTGAAAAAAAGATGCCATCATCCCTCTGCAGCTGAGGTGCTCAGGCGGCAGACAACGACACTGTTCATGGGCAAACCCTACCCTTAGCAGTTTGAAAGAGCAGTGTTTAAAAAAAATAATAATTAAAAAAAAATCATAAATGAAAACTTTAAAATGCTTTCTTTCTCACACAGTCTCTCTTGGGCCATGAGCACAGCTGAGTTATACTGCAAGTGGGTTATGCTGCTTGTGGCACTAATGTAGCAGCAGGTTGGCCTGCATCAGACCCTAGCAGGGCAGGCTTTCATCCCCCTTCTCTACGCCCTCCTTTTCAGAGTCAGGACACAGCTTCCAAAGTCTTTTTTTTCTTTCATTTTTTTCATATGAAAGCCTGTAAGTAAGTTATTTTTAAAATTTACTTCCACCTATTCGCAGCAGCGAGGACAAAGAAATAAACAACAGCACACCAAGCAAACTTCAGCATCCAGACCTCAGGGCCAAGGCCACTGCCTTGAAGGGAGAATTACGACAAATTTTTATTCAAGTGGAGAATAATTACCGTGTTCTGACATATGAAATAATTCATTATTATTATTTTGGCACTTCATGAGCCAGGTATTCAGGAAGCAGCTCAGATGGAAGCAAGCAATGAAGGCCCTTCCTGTTGGCTGGTACTACAGGAGTTACCAACACGTGGACAAGGCTGGAGCCACCCAGAGCCCCAGGAGACCCCAATACCCCCCCCCCTCCCCCCCCCCCCCCCACGCCATCACCTCTTTTTCTCAAAAGAAAAACAAAACAAAACCACACAGCCAGAGAAAAGAATATATAAGTCCAGTGGGAAGTGTGCACTGAGAGGAAGGGAACAGCAAAGGTCATGTTGAATAGGGCTTATAATTCTTTGGTCAACACATTTATATGAGAAGTGGGAAGTGCAGCCCCAGCCCCAGCCTGGGGGAAGAAACATCCAAAGTGATGCTGTGAATACGATCATGGTAGCAGTGAAATAGCTGAAAGGACAAGGCTCCCAGCACCTCCTGGAAATAAAAGCAAAAATATTAGTTGCTTTCTCCTTCTTTTACTCTATGAATCAGATAGCGTTTGCCAGAACTAACAACCCATATCTCACAGTTCACTTCTGGGCCACACCGTAGGTGCAAGGAAGTGCTGTAATTGTGATGCAGCCCAGCAAGCGCCTCTTGGCTGGTTGATTTAACAACACAGAGTCTTTACACATTTAATCCAGGCAGGGCTGTTATCGAGTCAGCTGTTCTTACCTTCATGTTTCTGGGAAAATGCATGGCTGGGGTCCCCAGGCACATGGTTCACCCAAGCATGAAAAAGAGGAATCTGGAGATACAAAGACATCTTGGCATTACATACCTGGCAGCTGCTATCATTACCGTGTTCTGCAAGATTTCAAACTAAAGGACAGCCTCGCTGAGATATTCCCCCCCCTCCCCCCCCCCCATCATTATCTCTGGTTGAGCCACTTTCTTCTACATTACAATGGTGAGATTACAGGACACGTGGAAAGTCCACAGTGCTCTTGGGAGGCTGGGGCAGCACAGAGCTGGGTGCCATCCCCGAGGTGCAGGGACTGTTTGGGCTGGCTTCCAGCCTACTCTTGAAATACTAAAAAGGGCATGTTGACTTGGCACCATGTTCATAAACATGTCCATCAACTGCAACCTTAGGGGAACAGGCTCTACTGAAACCATTCACTTGCAGAAAAACAAACTGCCATTCTTTACTTTCTGACTTTTATGCAGAACAGCTTTTTTCCACCACAGAAAATAAAATCCACTTGCTATATATCTGCTATGCAAGTGCTAGTTAAAATCCACACGTGTAGGGAATTTTATAGCTCATTCATGCTTAACTCTGGAGCTGAGCATGGCCATATAACAACACGTCCATGTTTTGTACTGAAGCAGTTAAGCTAAAATGCAACAGAATGAGGAACCCATGAGGCTTGGTGTGACTACATCTTACTGAGAAGCACCTGCATGAGCAGAGAGCATGACAAGGCAGACAAAGGTTTCTAACTGCTACAGCAATGATCACTCAGCAGTGCAGGCTACTGGACCCCACAACAGCACTGACCCTCCTTGCACACATCCCACATCTTCCCCTCAGTAAGCTGTATCTTTAGGAGCTCTCATAGGATTCAATAGCTTCAAAACACTGACTGCCATTCTCTGCTTTCTGGCACGAGCAGCAGCAGGCAGCCCTCCCCTGGCACACATAGGGCACGGGGGAGGCAGCTCCTTTGGCAGAAGAGTAGCAGGTGCAGAGGGCCTCTTTGAGTCTCTTACCTGGGAAAAAGACTCCTGGAGCTCCACATTGCCCATCCTTGCTCTGAAGCAGCCCTGCACAAGAATGGGACCAGATCAACCACGAGCAGATGCTCCAGGGCTGCCCTTGTAGCACAACTAGGACTTCAAGGGGCTAGTAGCATAGCTACAGCATTTAGCTCATAAGGTACAAGCAAGTCCATGGAGCCAGGATTACTGGAGACAGCTGGAGAGAAGGTGAACAAAAACCCACTGCATGCAGCTAACATCTCAGTCAAGCAGCAACATTTCAGCAAGCTCCTTCAAATCGCTCCAAGAGCGACATATCTCTCAGCTTTGTTCATTAAAGGAGAGCAAACAGTGGTGAGATTCTATAATTTATTACCATTGCTAAGATGAACACAGATACTTGATACCCAGTCGTATGTGGAACTGTAAAAAAATAGTTTAATACAGTATCAAAATTTACACAAGTATAGTGTCAAAAGACCAGTGTCCCTCAGCTCTGCCCCTGCACATACATACTGCAGGCACAAGTACATGGTTTACATTTTCATACATATATATAGATACATAGGAATACAACAATTTAAGTTTTACTATGCAAACGATATGTACGGAAGAAAACAACGTGTAAAGACAGCAGACAGCTGCTGGACCTGGGTTATATATGTGAGAAATTATGCAAGAGGGCAATGTTTTGAAACGCAAGGCCAACGGCACGTCCAACTGAAGCAGACGAAGCAAACAGGAATTCTGTTGGGAAATCAGTGCTGGGTCGGAGGCCTTATACTGAATGGTACCAAGCAAAAATAACAACAGAAACCAGTCTAATTGCTGCTGCAAACTAACACAGTTTTTTGTTTCTGTTTTTTTTTTTTTTTCTGAAGACAGTTAGCAGATTTTTACACCATATTCCTACACAACAAAAGATTGTACAGCAACGGAGCTACATTCCACCGCAAATAGCTCACAAACACAGCATGTTGCAAGCTCAGAGAAAACTGATTCTGACAGACCCAAACCTTCGGAACCAAGAAGAAACCAGAAAGAAACCCAGGAATTGTTGCATTCCTATTATTTTTTCTTTAACTTTTATTATTTCTTTAATGCTTGGCTACGGTAAAAAGTTAAGCAACAGCGGTCACAAGCCTGTTGCACATTCATACATGAAACTATTGTTGCTTTTAGATAGACACAAAATACCTATCATTGCAGTTTGATACACACAACTAGTATACACAGAGGTAAAAAATAAACTAAGCACATCTAGGTCATCTTCTGGTCAAACCTCAGGCAGTCTGAACATGAGCTTTCTGCCTCGTAATAATGAAAGACATGCTCCAAGTGTAATAAAACCTTCTTCTTTCAAAGAATGCTACGGTAGCAAGAAAAGCTTTATTATGATGCAGTACAATCCTTTACATTTCTATTCTTACAGACTCTTGTTAAATAAACCAGCATGTTTCTAAATTAAACAGTAGAAATTAGCATCCTGACAACTGGAAAATACTTTCTGAAAAAAAAACTCTGATGGAAATTCTGAGTTGAGAGCTGTGACAGCAATGCCTCAGCGTTCTGTTTGTGACAGGGCCGTGAACGTCAGACACATCTTCAGAAGATTCGCATCAAAGTAAATTGAACAGAAAGCTATCTTCACTTTCATTTAGAAAGAAATTGTGTTTCACTACAAGTACTGTAGTTATGCTACACTACTGGCTGGTTAGGAGACATTATGGTCTTTTAGCACCTCCAAAGGCAGGTATTCTACCAAAGCAAATAATAATAATAATCAGCCGTAAATTGCTTAAGCACCATTAGCTGATACCTTATAGACTGAAGTGTGAGTTGCTAAGAAATGACTTTGTCAAAACTGTGGGGACCAAAGGCACAACAGTTCATCAATGTCTCTCCAGTCTGGCGAAAAACTGGTAAATCTAGTGGACAATTTGTTCAGACTTACTAGAGACTCACTGTAGCTAACCAAAATAATGACTCCTTTCATGTAAGTGCTGCAAAACCCCTATCGTCTTTTCGTTAGGAATGGAAATATCTCAGTGCTTCTAAATGCGGTGCTGAAGGGACGATGCCGCGGCAGCGTTTCAGTAGCCAGCATAGTGAGACAGCAGTCCGTGGGTCACTGCAATGCCAGCACCTCTGACAGACCCCCCAGCATCACCGAGGAGCCCCCAGTGCAGCCCATAAGGGCACCCATCGTCAGCCAGGATGGTGCTGAGCACACCGCCAGTTCCTTGCCTCTCGTCAGCAGTTCCAATTCTTTCTCATCAGGCAGAGGATGTGCTCGAGGCCTTTTACATCGGTCCTTTGTATTGGTTTCCTGTCAGATGTTGCCTAATTCCAGGGCACGACCCTGCAGCATCTCCAAGTTTCCTCCACACAACCTAAAGGGAGGGATGAAAAGAGAGACCATTAGCACCGGTTGGGATGGACCAGTGTTCATATAGGCATGCATCAGGACACGCCACACATCCCTTACACAGACCATGCAGTGCAGGAAAAGACAGAGCGGAGGGACACAGAACAGGAAAACAGTGCTTCCCAGGAGATAAAATGTTCCTTCCAAACGGGGAAAGCACATGCCTCTAAAAATGGTTAAAAATGGAGACGAATGGACCAACACGTGCATCACCAGGGCTCCTTATGCTTCAGACACAAGACTGAGGGCATTTACAGGCCTCTACTGAAATTTCATTCAGGCATTTCCCACACCATGTCTCTTGAAGAACACAATTCAGAAGCACAGGACTCACTCCAGCAGAGTCTAAACATGTCCAGTTAAAGAAGCATAGAGAAATTCATCTCGTTTCTCTTTTCAGACTTTACTTGTTCTCTTAAAATCAAGCAGGGCGTTAAGTGTTTGCTTTCATTCATTCTTCCTTGAGCTCAGAGGAATCATGCATGCAGACACTGCCTGTGTGTTATGCTGAAACAGAGTGAAATCTACCCATTAGTAAATTTATCAAGTAGTTTTCTTAGCATGGACTAGACGTTATAAAGATTTCCTTCCTCCTGCTCACATCTACTCCCTTCCATGATTGCATACCATCCATGTTACACGTATGGAACTAAAAAAGCAGAGATACTGTAGCAAAAAGCATTCATTCAGGAACGTGTTTGATGATGAGTTATATATAATGAGATGAACCAATGAGAAGCAGGGGAATCCACAGTGAGCATCGTGTCCTCAGGCACAGCCAGGGGCCACCAGGAGAAGAGTGGTGATCACTACTGCACTGCGTGGTGCAATTCAATATTCTGTCTGTTTAGTAATCATTATTAACTAGCAACCAGCTAATGTATAGCTTCTATTAAGCTGCTCATTAATCTCCAGAGCAACAGCAGTATGTCTTGAGAAAGGCTTTTCCATTGTCATTATTAATTATTTGCGCCTAAATCCCAGGAGCGAACTGGCAATGAATATAAACACAGAGAAGCTGGATCCTGCAATGTTAATAGTCTGAAAAGACACGAGTCCTGGCTCCTGCCCTAAGGTCTCTGTGCAGGAGATGGCAAAATAACCTTTTAATGGCTGGATGTGATCAGACAAGTGTTTCTTTAAGATATTTGGTTGCTGTTCCTAACTTCTTACCACGAGGCAAGGCCACTCCAATGCCTTTTGTCAGAAGACACACTGTACAGATATGCCTTTCAACAATTGTTCTGGTCAATAAACATTAGACAATATTTACCGAGCAGTTCCTGCTGACACATAACAAGTGAAAAGATGACACTTCTCAAAGTCCTTCATTTCCAGTTGAACAAATGACCTTTGGTTGCTAGGAAGGAACACATGCGTACAAGACAGCCCTGCAAAGCTGACATCCTAAGCAGAACTGACAAGGTGTGGTCAAAAGAAATATTCATGCCACATTTCTGGGTAGAAAACAGACAAATCGTTACCAGAAACCACTTCTGCATATGCATACGGGGCAACAGAGGCGTGGGTCTCAAAGGCATCACAGTCATTCTGTTTGCCTCCTTTTCAGAAACACGAGGCAATACAGGCTCCAGTTCTGAAGATTTGTCGCCGAACTCTCCTTTGGTGCTGGCATATGTACAGCTCTCTGCTCAGCCACAGCAGCTGCACATCCTGCTGTCTCCTGCACACACAGTTGTTTGGCGCTCTGGATTTGCATCTAAATTCACCCTCCTCTCAGCTCGCGAGTTCAACACTGACTTGTCATGCAGCACTAATGAAATTGGTTTTTGCTTGCAAGCACTCAAGAGTTGATGTAATACCTGAGCATTCTTGAATGCAATTTAAATACTTACAGCAGAATAAAAAGTCCAAAGACATGGTTCAACATTTCAGCAGAAGCTTTCACCAAATAAAGGACAGCTAGGAGGCTTACAGTAACATCGTGGCGATTCCTTTCTAGCTTCCTTCCAACACACAGAAACCAAAGGAGGGAGAAACCCCCTCCTGGAAGTCGGGCAGGAGCCTGCCCCCTAATTGTGGGTGGCATTTCACGTGCAGTGTGAAATACTGGTGTAGCTCCCTGGGCTCTGAGATCCCCTGCCCTGCTGTCCCACCAACCCCACACAGCATCCCAACCTTCCCTGTGGCTCCCAGTGAACGTGTTGCAGCCCTGTGAGCAAAACTTACCTGTAATCAGCGGAAACTCATCATGAAAACATCAAGAAAATCATCAAGAAAGCCACCTGCCCTCTCCAGACTTAATGCAAACATTTCTGAGCTTTGAAATTACCTCCACGCTCACTAAGAATGTGATAAACTGCCTCTAAAGCTGCTGCTACGTATTGCTACATTCTCCTAAGACAACGCAAGCATATAAGCACAAAGCAAAAACATTCTCTAACATATTTTGGATGAGGTGGCATAAATACCATATTCCCACCTCCATTATCTTGATATAACGTTGGTAAAGAACCAGACAACAAGAGTTGCATTTTGGTACCAATCAACACTAGGCACCAAAACTATGAAGCCCAACATCAAGCCAGTCACCATGCCACTGTGATCACAGGCAGAGCAGTGCTGTGCGAGTGTTTCACACAAACAAAAACATGCAGAATAGGAATCTGGAGCAAAACTGTGAGAAGGGACTGCAACAAGAATGCAAAAGAAAAGAAACATAATGATAAGTTTATCACAAATCCACTGCGCTTTTAACACTAGACTGACTAGATGAACGTAAGAAAAAGTGAAAGCAGGAAGGAAACAACCGACTGTTGGAAAAGTCTAATAACATAGCAAGGGTCAAAACGGACATAGATCATCAAGCTGGAAGCAAAGGCAGCGCTTCAGTGCCAGCAACAGAGCCCTGAATGGCTGGGGAACGGAGAGGCAAGGCAGAAGACAAGTATGTACCTGGGACTGACAAAAATGAACTGACAATATTGACAATAGCATGCCAGCAGTTCTGAAGTGGTGCTACTTATATCCTGAGAACTCTCATGGATTGCTACTAAATATTTTTGAAAATGCCTTTTATCCATTAATTGCAAAGCAACAGCGTAGGCAGGAAAGTACAGATGTGTCATCACACAGCTGGGGAAAATGAAGCTGACAGACTTCATCTTGCTTGCAAATTTTACTCTTCTGAAGAACAAGCTGAGGCCAGCTGACTCCCACCGTATCCCTAATTTATTGTCACACTAGAAAATTCTTATCAATACAAACCAACATTGCATCCCTACTAAAACATTAATTCAGGCAGTCAGCTGACTGTTGTCGTCCCACAACTATAAACTCTAGTCTGCTTCCCCAGGAAGCAGCAGGATCTGCTCTCTGTCTGGAGATGGGAAGTTTGGGCAGTCTGCTTGGCTGACAGCTCACTTTCCATTTCAAATATAACAGCATCATTTATATCTATTTCTGCCTGCTGCAAGACCTCCTAGCAAACTAAAAGCTGAGATTTCACACCATATTGAACTAAATTCTGTGTACTTCTTATCAATCTATTTCAGCAGCCAAGGTATCGGCCACTGTTCAAATATTTCACTTACACTAACCAGCTATTACAGGTTGTCAAGAGCACGCTGTTAGAAGTTCCATTCAGTGAAGTAGCTTTGCCAGTGGGTATTTTAAGAGGACTACAGAAGGTTTTTTTCAGCAAATATGTGTACTGTCTTGGCAGAATCTGTAGCTTTATTTCCCAGGCAGCAGCAGGAGATGTGCTGGGGAGCTGCTTCAGGACTCCATGCACAGCCTAGTCATGGAAAGCAGATTTGCCACAGTGCTTGCCTTAATTGCCCCATAGCAATGCAACATAGCAGCGAGGCATTGGAAAAGGCTGCCCAGGGAAGTGGTGAAGCCACTGGAGGTGTTCAAGAACCATGGAGATGTGGCACTGAGCGACATGAGTGAGTGGGCATGGTGGGAGTGGGTTGGACTAGATGACCTTAGAGGTCTTTTCTGAGTGATTCTATGATTCTGTGCTAGGTCTTGGCAATCCATCCCTGACTTCAGAACAAATCACAGCTGCTCTCACAGGTTTCAGCAGCAATGTATGGTCTTCAGTCCAATATTCTGTTCACTGTACTGTGAATATACCACGCATGCTGGCTCCACCTCTGCAATACAGGTTTTCTCTCTATAAGCTACAATACTCCTTTACACTTCCCCAGAGAACAAATGTGTATCCTAGCTGAAGCAGAAAGACTTACTTATTCAGAAAACCACCACTTCCATCTTCAAACAAAGGCAGTACTAATGTAAGTGAACTGGACTGAGCCTACAGCTGGCACCGTCCCATGGCAATGGCCTGCCCCTGCCCCAAAGAACACACAGCTCACAAATGCAATGAGTGACAAACAGAAAAACAATCCTGCTGATGACAGCAGCATCCCGGTGGTGCCCACGGGAATGTTGCCAGGACAATATGACACATGTTGAGGAACAGACAAGATGTTTTGCACAGACTGTACCGGAGGAGCGTTACCTTCAGAGCATTTACCACTGATTCAGACTGCTGAGAAGCTGAGCCATGTCCACTGATGCTAGCTGGCTCGTTTGCTGAGCAGTAACTCCCCTCTGACCCTCCTGGCATCCTAATGGGATCCTTCGCAAAAAATTAAAGACTATTTAATAAAGAAAAGGGTTGGTAACTAATTAAAACAGATGTCATTTTTATTTTTTTTTTAATGCTGAGAAGCACTGAAGGCATGTTTTACTCCAAAGTCACCCTCCTTTTGAGCCACAGTAACCAACGTCCATATGAGTATCTTAAGCACCACTGTTGAGCATCATCCACACACTCCACCCCCCAAGGGTATCTATCTGGAAAATCAGGGCAGAGCAATAAAATTTTGGTATGCTTCCTCACAAAAGTGAGGTTCAGAGAGATGATTTTGAGTTCAGGGGAAGGATTTCAGAACACTTAACTTTATCCCAGGACATTTTGGAGGTCATTAACTT